CAAAGTGTTCTTCTGCCCCCTGAAGACTGAATGCGGGGCATTAGAAACTCAGCAGATAATTAATAAATGCCAAACAGATACGGCATTTAGATCCCCACTCGACCAGCATGATTCCTTTTGTAAAAAGCATATTTTTTGTTATTTTGTAAAATAGAATGTGGTATTTGCCCCAGTGTGACCTATGAAGGCCCTCGTGGGTTGTTTCTGGATGTCGTCAGTGAGCGTGCTGCGTAATTGACTATTGAAAGAGGCCATGTTTTGACACTTGTGTGATCACAGGAAGACGTGGACGGCAATATATCTTCTCACGGGCCGAAGAAACATGAATAAAGAGAATTAAATTAAGCGAAAATGTTCACATGTGATCTTCGTGCCAGATCGGTCAAATTCGTCGTGAGAGGTCACAGGTCATCTGCCAACCGGAAGGATATGGATGCATGTAGTTAGGTCTTGGCCATGCATGCAGACATGGCAGAATCCGTTAAAGGTGGGACAGGTGTCTCTCCCCTCATCTCCCGGGTCTGCCTCACCCCCGGGACATCAGGCACATGCCCCTTGGGAGGATTAGCACCCCACCCCCTTCCCGCCCCAGTCTTTAAGAAGAACACCTTCTATCATTATTTCTCACGAACACTGAGCCACAATGTCGTCTGCTTCAAGGTATTGTTGTCTCCCGCCACAAAATAACACAAATCTCTTCTTCAAGCAAACATTTTCACCTGATTAGCTAACCTAAAGAGATTTCACACGGCGATGTGTAAATAGGTATAATTGGCCACGCTGTCCATTTTCTACTTAATTGTACCCTTGTTTGCTTCACTTGACGGGAAATAGTTCGTGAATAGTCTCTTCCTGTTGAATAAATGTGCCAAGAGCGACCCTGGCCATTGTCTCCGCATACCCGCTCGTCTTAAGTGGGTATCGAACGCTACCGTGACGATAGCAGGCGGGCCATAACAATCTTTGTTTAATACCCACCTGATGATTCGCACAATCAGGAATAATTAGGAAAGGTGTCAGCTGCTTTGATGTGTGTAAAACGTGGACAGGTGTATGTGTGATATCATCTCAATGATGGTGTGATCATATTTCTGTGTCAGCATATCTTAATCTCAAGTGCTTCAAATAGCGAAAGATTTATTCGATCACTGTAATCATTACACACGGACTGTTTATCTCCAGTTTGCCATATGGCGGCTGGGTGAATCTGAGAAATATAAGAGCCCCTCCTTTTCAACAACTTCTTCAACAATGGCTTGTTTGAAAGTCCCCAAAACCTATTCTAAAATATCCATAGTAAGGGAAGGGTATTAGTAAAAGGAAAATACATATAGTATTTAATTGAATTGGAAGTGTTTACCAAACAAATTACATGCATTTTAGGATGATCATTTCTTTCAGTACACTTGGGGATAATTATATTGAATTGGCACATCCCACATAACCTTCCTCAACAGATGACCACTAGTACTGCAAACAATGCTGTTACGAAATCTTTCAGGTAGACCACGGTGTGTCTGAAATATTGCTGTGTGTGTCTCTAAAGTGTTTCGGTATGGAGGTGGATCTCACGTATGAACTGTCTGAACTATTGCAGTGTGTTTGGGACCGGCCGTGTATGAAGTGTCTGTGCTATTGTAGTGTGTCTGTGATTTTGAATGCCCCTGTATGAAGTGTCTGAACTATTGCGGAGTGACTGAGTTTGAACCCGTCCTTGGATGAAGTGTCTGAACTATTGCAGTGCATTTGGGATTTGCTGTGGATGACGGGTCTGTGCTATTGTAGTGTGTTTGTGATTTTGAATGCCCCTGTATGAAGTGTCTGAACTATTGCAGTGTGTTTGTGAATGGCCGTTATGAAGTGTCTGAACTATTGCAGTGTGTCTGTGAATGAACGTGGATGAAGTGTCTGAACTATTGCAGTGTGTCTGTGAATGGCCGTGGATGAAGTATCTGAACTATTGCTGTGTTTGTGAATGGCCATGGATGAAGTGTCTGAACTATTGCAGTGTGTCTGTGAATGAACGTGGATGAAGTGTCTGAACTATTGCAGTGTGTTTGTGAATGGCCGTGGATGGAGTGTCTGAACTATTGCAGTGTGTCTGTGAATGTCCGTATATGAAGTGTCTGAACTATTACAGTGTGTTTGTGAATGCCCCTGGTGTGAAGTGTCTGAACTATTGCAGTGTGTCTGTTTGTGAGTGGCCGTGAATGAAGTGTCTGAACTACTGCATTGTGTCTGTGAATGTCCGTGAATGAAGTGTCTGAACTATTACAGTGTGTTTGTGATTTTGAATGCCCCTGTATGAAGTGTCTGAACTATTACAGTGTGTTTGTGAATGGCCGTTATGAAGTGTCTGAACTATTGCAGTGTGTCTGTGAATGGCCATGGATGAAGTGTCTGAACTATTCCAGTGTGTTTGTGATTTTGAAAGCCCCTGTATGAAGTGTCTGAACTATTGCAGTGTGTCTGTGTTTGTGAATGGCCGTGAATGAAGTGTCTGAACTATTGCATTGTGACTGTGAATGACCGTGGATGAAGTGTCTGAACTATTGCAGTGTGTCTGTGAATGTCCGTATATGAAGTGTCTGTACTATTGCAGTGTGTCTGTGTTTGTGAATGGCCGTGAATGAAGTGTCTGAACTATTGCACCGCGTCATTGTTTGAGAACGTCCATGTATGAAGTGTCTGAACTCACACAGTGCCTCTGTGTTTGTGAACGTCCACGCGTGGAGTGTCTGAACTGGTACTGTGTAACCGTGGTTGTGAATCCGACTGCCGAAAGCATATATAATATGTTTTGCTATATAGAGACAAAATTTAGTATTAAATCAAGAACTGTATTCTAATCTGGTACCTAGCTGATGGTTGTGTGTGAACAAAATCTAATACTGCATCATCTGCCCGTATACAACCCTGTCCATGATCATATACATACAACGTATAGGAATTGCTCCTACATTATTTGAACTGTACAACAGGTGGCCTTGTACCGGGGAAGTCTCAGAATTGGAGTGTCATTAAACCAGTACCATTAATGAAGACATAAAAATAATTGAATGCATGCAGTATTTGTGTAAATATAATTAACAATTAACGTCAAACAACGGGAACCTAAATGTCTAACAAACAAGAAAACCATCTGAAATGGCTGACCTTGGCTGAAGTTCAAAATCAAACAATATCCTCTTTTACCTATTAACACAAACCCGTGAATTATTTCCGCTTCTAATGAATTACTAGACCCCCTTGGCGTATTTGCTTAATTCACACAATGGCACTCTCCCCTAATCAAACTTGCCGGCAGTAAAGGTGTCTTGGCCGCCATTTTAGTATTGTCGTCTGCCGCCTTGATTACAACTGGCGGTCAACTTTGGCCGGGGTAATCATAAGGCGAACCACGTTTCCCACCAAATACGTTCCTCCCACTTCTGTCCTGCATTGTGTATCAAGAAAAACCCACAAATAAGTGTGTGAAAAAGCAAATCAAGAACCCTTAGGTTATGTTAATCTACATCATACGAAGGAGACGCTCATGGGGCAGGCAACAAAGTCTCTCTAAACTCCTATAACATCAAGTTATACACGAACATCGAATGTGTGTAAACATAATGTGATATAGAATGTATGGAAATAACTTTCATATAACATTATTCAGGAGGAGCAGATATGCTATAATCTTTCTGCTGGACTTGTTGACGCTGATTGAGGGTAACAAAAGCTTTGCATCAAGAATACGACACACGTCGGCTGACTGTCTAGATCATTACAGTTTCATACAATGTTGAATATAGCTATACACTATATACGTACACAAGGAACTACGATTATGTTCCACTTGATACCACGGATCTTTTGTAAAAACCCATCCCGTTTTCTTTGAAGGTTCATGGGTATTTCACCAGAGCACTAGGCTGGAATTGCCTCTCCAGTAGGTCCTTTAGAAATGTAAACAATTCAAACAATAAATAGAAAGTTTGTGGCCTGTGCATTTGTTCAAATAGGTATATACAACTCAAGGGAATATTAATCTCGATTTGCTGCCTAAGCAGATTCCACTGGAATTTAAAATAGAGTTAACGCGTACATGGACTGTTTTCTGAAACTCGGTGATGAAACAAGATGTTGCGAAAATGTAAGCATGTCCTACCAATTCATTTGACTGGATACATAAATAAATTTTATTAATCAGTATTATTAGATACATCTAAGCACTTGTATATTGCAACACTACGCTCCTTCTAATCCTTACAAACACGTCGTGCAGCGTGCTCTGTCGTAAAACGTGCTCTGACAGACGGAAATCATAGAAATCTCAAAACGAGGCTCTGCCGCTAGAAAAGTTTGGTGATCTGGTACGGACTTGATATTATATAATTCACATTATGCGTTATAAGACTACACTGAATAAGCACAAAAAATACATAACAGGTGTAACCAGTGAGCCAGATGAATTGGTGACCTCATCAAACAGGAGCAGTCTGTGACGTCTTAGTTAAGATCATGCTGCCTACACCTCGCCATAAAATATAGAAATACGATGTTATTAAAGCTTAAAATTTAGATTAACTTGTAAATATCATATTCCTATGAAAACAGGAATTGGAATACAGTGTAACCATAGTTGTTTGTGGTGTCTCTTTTCACTTTTACACGAGAAAATTCTGGTTCGGCTGAAAAATATGTCATTGTCTGAATAGGTTAATGAGACTCATGTTTCGGTTTGTAGCAATATTCCAGCAATATCACAGCAGGGGACACCAGGACAAGGAAAGCACGTAAGTTTGTGTTTACGATATGAAACATTGTACAACAATCTAGTCTAAACGCGGGAAGTTAAACAAAAATCCGCTATTTTAAAATGACTAAATTTAATCCGTCAAAATACGCACGCACGCACGCACGCACGCACACACACACACACACACACTGGGCTTAGAAATGTGTATGTTTGCAAGGTACAATGGCTCCAGCACATGCAATAAATACAAAACACATTGTCTCGCCGAAAAACGTATTTATTGAGCATCAATAGAAATGCCAATTACATGAAGAAAGAACAACGATGCGCATACACGCAAGTTAATATGGTGGCTATAAGTACTGCCCAGCACATACAATACAGTGAAACCTCCACAGACCCCGGAAAACCCCTAAACCAGACGAGTACTGTTGGGAACCATTATATACAAAGTAACTTTGATTCGTTAATCCGGTATTTTGAGAATCCGGGTGATTTAACTGAGAAATCCGGTATTTTATTAATCCGAGAGATTTCACTGTGAACATTAAGATCAAGATCAAACCCATTGTAATCATACATAGTATAAAACAAGACAATAGATGGTCGAGTGAGATGCTGTGATAAACATGCGAGCAGTATAAGCTCGGATAGTATAGGGGTAGGTCACGGAACAACGTACAATGAAAGACGTACATGTCAACCTCCATGGATGAAATTTTGTGAGGAGTATATTGAATACGTCTTTGTTGAATATTTTTGGAAACGTCCATTGAAAGACACCGGTGAGACCCGTTATTGAACTTTGGCACAGTATGCAACATCATTAATCGGTGGGGTAGTGATGCTTGGTTCAGCTTGGTGAGGTGTTTCGATAATCATTTGTATAAGCGTTTGATATTTGTCATAGGAGCGTGTCTTGTCGCACAAACATATCGTTAATAGATGATGATGATGATGATCATGATCATGACGATGATAATGCAGTTCCATGCATCCAATCGTGTAAAGGCATTGACGTGGTATACATATACAAATGAACCTTTACGTTTACATAACATGCACAAAGCAAATTCCATAGCAAATAATCCCTTCAACCAAATGCATTTCGGAATATAGATAAGGTTTACATAATTGCAACATTGCATATCAGCCCGTATGCACCGGCAAGACAGAGGACCATGTGGATTAAAATTCCTGTCGACACACTCTCTCCGTTAACCGCATGAATAAATTAATATGATATCACCATGACCCCCAATGTCTAGGACTCTGCGGCAATCTCGGGGATCGGCTCTCTTGTCAACAGATTATGTCGATGCATGTCAAAATGCCATTCAGTACTGTCATCAGATCCAACCATTTCTCGTACAAGTTTTCGTATCGTTAGATCTATCGTAAAAAGATAGTCATCTTTATCTTCGGGAATGTAATGTCTGACGTAATCAGCAATTTTGGTGACGTATTCAACATTTGTCCCAGCAGCCCCCCTGGCATTCACTATCTGCTTCGCCATCGAAGGAATGTCCGTTTCCCCCAGATAGTATGGGTTATCCTCCGTAACTGTGAACACAAGAACACTAATTGGTTTAGACCCTGGTTCCCTGGGTTCGAACTCAGTCACTAGTGTGGTGTAGCCACCAAGCTGTGTCTCTCGATGGTTAAGATACTTTAAGATTTTCGTCACTGATTCAGTCCCCTTGATTTCGTAGGCAACACCCCAAGAACGTCCCTGAAGAAAAGAAAATATTTACAGTGAGTTACCGAAATTACTCTTAAACTTAAAGATATATTTGTAAATTCATGAACATGTAAAAGTTGATACACAAAACTTACATCACTATTTCTGAGTGAATGATTGATCATGGTTCAACAATATCACGGCGGGGGACACCAGAAATGGGCTTCAAACATTGCACCCATGTGGGGAATCGAACCCGGGTCTTCGGTGTGACGACCGAACGCTTTAACCACTAGGCTAACCCACTTGGAGCTTGTAATTGTAAGTGTGGAGGATTTACAACATGTAATGGTTTGTTTGTTCGTTTGATTTTTAACGCCGCACCCAGCAATACCCGAGCTATATAGCGGGTCTGTAAATAATCGTGCCTGAACCAGACAATACAGTGATCAGTAGCATGAGCATCGATGACATGTGTCTACCAAGTCAAAGAGCCTGACAATCCGATTAATGTATAATTCAGGTGCAAAGTCGTCATGTAAATATGTAATATATCCTAGTCAGTATTACATAAACTGCAAATTCCACAGTATTTATTTCGTATTACTGTTGGGCAGTTCACTTATTATTCTCACAGCATAGTAATTCATATGCCTTGCACGAACGTGAAAACGCCTATTTCCTAAAACCACGCACTATAGCTAGGAAATAGGCCAGTTTGACCTTTATAAATAGGAAATTATTCAATTTTTGAAATACATTGTAAGCGTCATGATTTCAGAAAAATAGCAATACTTTAGACATAAACAAACGAAAAGAAATATCATTTGTTTTCAACAGAATGGCGCCTATCCACATCAGCACAAGTGCAGGTCGTTTTCTCCAGATTATACACTAAGTTTTAGTCTGTCTCTCTGTCTCACAGTCCCTGAACCACATTATTATTCCTTACTGCCTACCCCTCCCTGCAATGCTCTAAATGATACAAGAATAGATTCCCTCAGGTTTCTCACAGTCCCCGAACCACATCATATTCCCTATTTTCTACCCCTCCCAGCTATGCTAAAACCCCTAAATGACGCAAGTCTCGATTCCCTCAGGTTTCTCACAGTCCCCCGAATCACATCATTTCCCTAACAGTTTTGCCCTCCCTGCAATGCTAAAACCCAAAATTCAGCAAGTCTAGATTCCCACAGGTTTCTCAATGTCCCTTAACCACATTATTTCCTTCAACTGTTTTGCCCACCCTGTAATGCTAAGCCCTAAATGAAGCAAGTCTAGATTCCCTCTGGTTTCTCACAGTCCCTGAACCACATCATTTTCTACTTTTCTAGCCCTGCAATGCTAAAGCCCGAAATGGAGCAAGTCTAGATTCCCTCATGTTTCTCACAGTCCCTGAACCACACTATTTTCTGTAATGTCTATTCCGCCCTGCAGTGCTAAAGCCTTAATGAAGCAAGTCTAGATTTCCTCAGGTTCTGAATTTCCAGTATTTGGGGCTCCTTTTCAATTTAAATGGGTTTATTTATTACTATCAATTATATATCTTCAGAGACTAAGCGTTAGTCTAGTCCTAAGTCTAGTATATATTCTGAGACTAAGCGTCAGTCTAACGGAGTTTCATCATCACAACGCCGGGTGATGAAACAGTTACTGTACCCAGTGCTATTGACCGGACCGACACCCGCGGCTGTGTTTATTACTGCCCTTAACTGCTGGCTGATGCAATGTCCGAGCAACGCATTTCTTAGAGCCTCCGACCCTATGTTGATCCCGATATTACAACAGATTTAAACAAGGAATCATGTGTTTCGGCAGATTGTGAACAGTCGTATCCATGCACAATTACACGTGAAAATCACGTTTCAGTCACAAAGTCATAGTGATAGCCTTATCTAGGTCAGGTTCAGTCACGTGACGGAAGGTTGTCAATAACATACCGATCTATAAATACCGCACCGCATGGTAGGGTGACGAAACTCTTGTATTTCTCGCATTTCAAATACCTTTGAATATATCTTTGGATGCATCAAGACACATTTTGTTTGGTAACGGGATCCGATGAATATTGTACAGATAAGCAGGTATAAATACTAATTCTAAAGCATATAAATGGGTGTTTGTGCGAACTGTTTATCACTACACATATGTTCGTGAATAAGGGTAAAATATACAGCATAATTACCTCTTTGCATTTGACCAGGTTTGCAACACGTCCAGGCTAGAAACAGAACAAGAAAGGAAACGTTACTTTTTATCGCTGTTCTAACATGCCAAATATAATATAATGCACTCGTGGAAATAAATAAGAAAAAGCAAATTCAAAGAATAAAACAAACGATGTGAACCCCGACAAGGAAAATAGCATGGCCTGAACTAACATTCCTTCAATACCAGTGCATTCATCTGGCAGAGCTCGTGGGGTATGTAATAATAAGGTATATTGTAATCGGGTATGTAGTAATAAGATTAAGTACATACAAAAAAGGTTTGGGAATTTACCTGGCTTGGCGTTCCTCTGTGCGTTGCATTACCCTGCCAAAATCTTCGAACAAATCCTTTGACGGAACCTATTTTCTTTGAAGAATATTCGAAGTCTGGTTTCCATAGCAGCGAGCCATACCCGAATACCCAGATGGTTGGGTTGTTGTGCAACAGGTAATCAAGTGATGTGATGTCCATGTTGTAGGTACTTCCAAGCTGGGGTAAGACGATCTTCGTGTGTAGAGTAGAATGTATACGATATAACAGTGATACAGCTGGTATATAAACAAACTGTAGCATAAATAAAGACGGGTGATACTAGATATACTGCCTAGCTCTTATATACCTATTGAAAACGTGATCCAGTGCGTGACTGGCACTCTCATCCAATGGAAATACCGTATTTTACAACGGAACATTTTGATTGGTTGTTACCACATAAACGCTTACATACCCGCCATTTTGTCAAGATTTCATCATCACCTTGCATCATGCATGGGGAAATAAATTTAGAGTGGTAAGACGGTAGTTTCCGCTATGTGTCACAGAGAGCAAATATTTGATTGATTGCTCGTGCAAATTTGAATGACGTTGACTGCACGTTTTACAGACAGTAGGCGATTTACGTCTACAGTCCTCGCCTTCGATCTGAAAACCCAGGTGAACCCGTGTACGAGGTATAACTCAGGTTAACCTTGGTTCACCAGTTCAGCTCATACGTCACTGATTTACGTTATAAACGGTTATCCAAAGTTACAGATACCTACTGAAATCCGAGGGTGCGGTACTCGCGTTAGCAAGCTACAAGTTGGGGGCAGTGAGGGGAGCGATTGTTTATAGAAAATACTTTAGAATCAAAAATGAAAGACTGATAATGCTTTTCCATTTCGTTTGATGTCATAAGCCTTATTTAGAATGCACTAAAAACACAATGTGCAATGTTTTGTCCAGCTATTGCAAACATCTAGCTGTGTGGCATTGCACACGGCTGTTGTGTTTCTCCGGCTCCTTGCAGTCATCATGACATCTGTGTGTTTTATTTCAAACCCAAGTTCTCCTTGATGACACTGGTTGACTCATTTTGAATCAAGTCACTCCTGGTTTCCAGGAACGTGGTAATGTGGGTTGACTCGGGTCACTTAAAGCATACTGACTGAACGCCCATGTGCGTGTTTCGAGTGATGTCCAGTTGTACACCTTATGCACAATGAATACCGTACTACAACGAATAAACTGGTGTTCATAAATCAGGCTTAACGTACACGTTGTAGGAAGATTTAGGGAATCGATTGCATGTCCAGCTGTGTCGGATCTACGTCAGAGTGGTCAATATACGTCCGTCATTCAGTGAACAAAATCATATACACACGTCTTACAGCGGGGCAGGTGAAATAGTGGGCCCTCGTCTCAGAAGAGGGTCCAGGACTAATGTTTTTGTAAAAAATCATTGTGTATCAATTTAATTTAAGGGTCGATACAACCAAGATCTTTTAGTGAGAAAAATAAATGACGGGGAGATTGACACAGTTTGACATGTGACGTGTCTGGGTGAACCCAAGATCCGCCCAGCCCTTTCTGCAATGCTAAAGCCCTAAATGAAAGTCTAGATATCCTCAGGTAGCCCTTCTCACTGGGCCTCCTTTTACATTTTACCAACATCGCGTATATTCTGAGATTAAGCATTAGCCTTTGAATGAACCTCAGTCAACTCATGTGATCTGGCTCTCTGACTTTGTTGATACATGTCATCGTATGCTGGATCGACGCTCATGATCTCAGTCACTGGATTGTCCGGTCCAGAACCGATTTATTTACAGACCGGACTATTGCGGAAGTAATCAACGTGTGTTCAGACAACACTGCTAAACTTGGTACAGGGTTATAGGATTCTATGCTCATGGTTCGAATCGGGGCTGTAGGGTAGCCTAATGGTTAAAGCGTTGGCTCGTCAAGCCGAAGATCCGGGTTCGAATCCCCACATGGGTACAATGTGTGAAGCCCATTTCCGGTGTCCCCCGCCGTGATGTTGCTAAAAGCGGCGTAAAACCAAACTCAGTCAGTCAGTCAGTCATGGTTCGAATCCACTATTCGTCCCGATTATGATTCTTGGTCTGTTAGCCCCATATCCGTGCTTGAGGGTAGCGTCAATGACGGTCACATTGCATAGATGTTAACTGTCTCCTTCAACGTGCAGCACGTTCAACCTGACTGGGAAATGGCGCTTCACATGGACAAGACATGGACCTTTATTGTAAAATTGAGTAGTTGAGTTTTATTTAATGTATATTTTTCATCCTGGCATTTCACATAACCTCCCGTGCTGCTGAACCACGCAGTAATGTATTGACTGTATCGTACATCATGTATTGTTTATCTATTTTCAGCGTGTGATGGTATACGAATGGCTCAATGGCATTCTCACACATGTTTACGCAGAACAATTGATTCATTATTCAAGCCCCAAAACCGGCTTTGTGGCTTTCATCTATTCGACTTTGAATATTGTTTGTTTGCATGTTTTTCCACGCAATATTCCGGTTTCAAGACTGTAAAGAAACGACACAAACCAGACAAGTGTTTTGCTGATTTATATTCTAACCGTCGACGTACGATGCCACGACTCCATGAAAATCCTGGTTAGAAATGGTCTTCAGTAACTCTTGCTATTAGGCGGCTAAGGGGGATGGGGAGTAATTGCGACGTAGAGGAACACGTAGGGTTGTCACTGGGAACACTGTACAGGTCATCAAAGGAGATGAAGAAGCAGGTGTGTCACTGGGAACACTGTAGAGGTCATCAAAGGAGATGAAGAAGCAGGTTTGTCACTGGGAACACTGTAGAGGTCATCAAAGGAGATGAAGAAGCAGGGTTGTCACTGGGAACACTGTAGAGGTCATCAAAGGAGATGAAGAAGCAGGTAGAGTCACTGGGAACACTGTAGAGGTCATCAAAGGAGATGAAGAAGCAGGGTTGTCACTGGGAACACTGTAGAGGTCATCAAAGGAGATGAAGAAGCAGGGTTGTCACTGGGAACACTGTAGAGGTCATCAAAGGAGATGAAGAAGCAGGTTTGTCACTGGGAACACTGTAGTGGTCATCAAAGGAGATGAAGAAGCAGGGTTGTCACTGGGAACACTGTAGAGGTCATCAAAGGAGATGAAGAAGCAGGTTTGTCACTGGGAACACTGTAGTGGTCATCAAAGGAGATGAAGAAGCAGGGTTGTCACTGGGAACACTGTAGAGGTCATCAAAGGAGATGAAGAAGCAGGGTTCTCACTGAGAACACTGTAGAGGTCATCAAAGGAGATGAAGAAGCAGGGTTGTCACCGGGAACACTGTAGAGGTCATCAAAGGAGATGAAGAAGCAGGGTTCTCACTGGGAACACTGTAGAGGTCATCAAAGGAGATGAAGAAGCAGGGTTGTCACTAGGAACACTGTAGAGGTCATCAAAGGAGATGAAGAAGCAGGTTTGTCACTGAGAACACTGTAGAGGTCATCAAAGGAGATGAAGAAGCAGGTTTGTCACTGGGAACACTGTAGAGGTCATCAAAGGAGATGAAGAAGCAGGTTTGTCACTGGGAACACTGTAGAGGTCATCAAAGGAGATGAAGAAGCAGGGTTGTCACTGGGAACACTGTAGAGGTCATCAAAGGAGATGAAGAAGCAGGTTTGTCACTGGGAACACTGTAGAGGTCATCAAAGGAGATGAAGAAGCAGGTTTGTCACTGAGAACACTGTAGAGGTCAGAGATGAAGAAGCAGGTTTGTCACTGGGAACACTGTAGAGGTCATCAAAGGAGATGAAGAAGCAGGTTTGTCACTGGGAACACTGTAGAGGTCATCAAAGGAGATGAAGAAGCAGGGTCACTGTCACTGTAGAGGTCATCAAAGGAGATGAAGAAGCAGGGTTGTCACACACTGGGAACACTGTAGAGGTCATCAAAGGAGATGAAGAAGCAGGGTTGTCACTGGGAACACTGTAGAGGTCATCAAAGGAGATGAAGAAGCAGGTTTGTCACTGGGAACACTGTAGAGGTCATCAAAGGAGATGAAGAAGCAGGTTTGTCACTGGGAACACTGTAGAGGTCATCAAAGGAGATGAAGAAGCAGGGTTGTCACTGGGAACACTGTAGAGGTCATCAAAGGAGATGAAGAAGCAGGGTTGTCACTGGGAACACTGTAGAGGTCATCAAAGGATGAAGAAGCAGGGTTGTCACTGGGAACACTGTAGAGGTCATCAAAGGAGATGAAGAAGCAGGGTTGTCACTGGGAACACTGTAGAGGTCACTGGGAACACTGTAGAGGAGATGAAGAAGCAGGGGTTGTCACTGGGAACACTGTAGAGGACATCAAAGGAGATGAAGAAGCAGGTGTGTCACTGGAAACACTGTAGAGGTCATCAAAGGAGATGAAGAAGCAGGGTTGTCACTGGGAACACTGTAGAGGTCATCAAAGGAGATGAAGAAGCAGGTTTGTCACTGGGAACACTGTAGAGGTCATCAAAGGAGATGAAGAAGCAGGGGTTGTCACTGGGAACACTGTAGAGGTCATCAAAGGAGATGAAGAAGCAGGGGGTTGTCACTGGGAACACTGTAGAGGTCATCAAAGGAGATGAAGAAGCAGGGTTGTCACTGTAGAGGACACTGTAGAGGTCTGTAGAGGACATCAAAGGAGATGAAGAAGCAGGGTTGTCACTGAGAACACTGTAGAGGTCATCAAAGGAGATGAAGAAGCAGGGTTGTCACTGGGAACACTGTAGAGGTCATCAAAGGAGATGAAGAAGCAGGGTTGTCACTGGGAACACTGTAGAGGTCATCAAAGGAGATGAAGAAGCAGGGTTGTCACTGGGAACACTGTAGAGGTCATCAAAGGAGATGAAGAAGCAGGGTTGTCACTGGGAACACTGTAGAGGTCATCAAAGGAGATGAAGAAGCAGGGTTGTCACTGGGAACACTGTAGAGGTCATCGACGTAGATGAACAAGCAGGGTTAGATGAAGAAGCAGGTTGTGTCACTGGGGACACTGTAGAGGGTTGTGAATGGAAACACTGTAGAGGACATCGACGGAGATGAAGAAGCAGGGTTGTCACTGGGAACACTGTAGAGGTCATCAAAGGAGATGAAGAAGCAGGGTTGTCACTGGAAACACTGTAGAGGACATCGACGTAGAGGAACAGGCAGGGTTGTGAATGGAAACACTGTAGAGGACATCGACGTAGTGGAATAGGCAGGGTTGTGAATGGAAACACTGTAGAGGACATCGACGTAGTGGAACAAGCAGGGTTGAGAATGGAAACACTGTAGAGGACATCGACGTAGAACACTGTAGAGGACATCGACGTAGAGGAACAA